ATCCCCAACCATGCCAGAAACTACCCCAGTATTAATACCCCACCATACCAGGAACATACCCCACCATGCCAGAAACATACCCCAGTATTAATACCCCACCATACCAGGAACATACCCCAGTATTAATACCCTACCATACCAGAAACATACCCCAGTATTAATACCCTACCATACCAGGAACATACCCCCCAGTATTTATACCACCACCATACCAAGAACATACCCCAGTATTAATAACCCACCATGCCAGAAACACCCCAGTATTAATACCCACCATACCAGGAACATACCCCAGTATTAATACCCTACCATACCAGGAACATACCCGTATTAATACCCCACCATGCCAGAAACATACCCCAGTATTATTTAACCCACCATGCCAGAAACACCCCAGTATTAATACCCACCATACCAGGAACATACCCCAGTATTAATACCCCACCATGCCAGAAACACCCCAGTATTAATACCCACCATACCAGGAACATACCCCAGTATTAATACCCACCATACCAGGAACATACCCCAGTATTAATACCCACCATACCAGGAACATATCCCAGTATTAATACCCCATCATACCAGGAACATATTCCAGTATACTGTATATACCCCACCATACCATGAACATATTCCAGTATTAATACCCCACCATACCATGAACATACCCCACCATACTAGAAACATACCCCAGTATTAATACCCCACTATACCAGGAACCTGGCCTAGTATTAATACCCACCATACCAGGAATTTATACCCCAGTATTAATACCACACCATACCCGGAACATAGCCCTACTACAATCTGGTAAATAGTATCTCACCTCTTGGTATATCTCTCTCTATATACAATAATAGACAGTCAGATTCCACCCCTCCCCAGACCTGGGGTGGGTAGATCAAGATGATATGTTGGTTGCCGTGGGTTACTACACCATGCATACAGGTACTTGTCCCACCGCTAATCCTCATTTATCAAAGTGCCCCAGGAAAGGATCGTCTATGAAGGGATGGGAGAATCTGGATAATACAAGTAACACAGAGATGCCCATTGAGGTCCCATGGAGCACCTCGGCCGGGATATACTGCTGTGCCATCAGGCAGGGAGGGACTGCAAGGACAGGATGGACATGTGATGCACGGGAGAATACAAATAAAACACGCTTAATGTCTACCTCATGCAGGGGCAGCCCATTAGGCACTGCGAGACTCTGACAGCCACCAGCATGACTTAAAGTGACATTAAACCCTCAGATTTTTTAACATAAACCAATACTGTAATGTGCGCCTTACTGTAATCCATGGTTGTTTCCCTTCCCTTTGCTGCTCTTTCTTTTAAATCCTCATGTCTTCTCATGCTGGGGGAGAACTTCCCTTTGCACCTGAGTGCCTCTTCCTGTAGTGCTGGCTCAGGTTGTGAACCTTCACACAGACACCATGTATCCATTCCAGAGACAAGGCAGTCTGCTGCAAAACAGAAGTTCTCCCAAGCATGAGAACAGATACGGATTTAAAAGGAAGAGCAGCAAAGAGAAAGGAAACTACCATGGATTACAGGAAGGCGCACATTACAGTATTGTTTTATGTTAAAAAATCTGAGGGTTTAATGTCACTTTAAAGAGGCAGGGGCATGACGGAATTTGGAGAGTTGGCTACCCCCGATCTAAAGCAATTCTTTATCTTTCATCCTGGATAGAGTAAGCAAGGGTTAGAACCTCCGTCCAGTTTTTATTCCTAGGAGAGATATATTACAATATGACAATTATAGTCTATATATACATTTATATTTTATTAGGGTTGCACAGATACCAAGTACCGTACTCGGTACAATTACAGGTACCGATACTTTTGAGCTCCAAGACTAGACTAGTGAAAAATTCAAAAATTAGGAGGCGGCTGTCATGTGTAAGGAGCACACGGAGCTCCCGGGATTTGTACATCTCGGTTTTAATGTCTGATTTTGTTTTTATAAATATAAATAAAGGGATGCACAGATACCAGTTTTGCGAGTACGAGTACTGGTACTTGCCGAGCCCTTACAAGTACGAGTACTGATACATTTTTGTTTAGTGTCATGTGACAGTTTTTCTAAAACAATAGAGACTAATGATTTCAGGACAGTGGTGGAGCGCCAGAGCCCGGTCCCAGCTGCAACCCTGGGAGCTCTCATGAAAATGCCGAGTATCTGCACTGGTACTCGAAAAGTATCTGTGCATCCCTATATTTTATGAATGAGCCACTTGAGTCTCGGGGGCCTTTTTTCTCTATAACTCAGTTCTGCACCTTTACCCAAATATATCGTACGCTGTTTTTTATTGGGACTGATAGGCCTTTAATTTAATAGCAGATATGGATACATATATTTTCATTATATCACTTCCTGTGTAGTCTCCGAGACTGGGAGTGAAGGGAAATCTTCCCAATGGGGCACAGACAGAGATTTTACTAATCCTGTTCTCAATCCAAAGCTTAAAAAATGTTTTAATAAAACGCTTTATGGTAAAATATTAGTGTGCATGTATATCAGTCAGGAGACCAGAGCTGTGATTTGGCTTCAAAACCATTATTTTCCACTGCTATATACTCTGTAAACCCTGATACGGGCTGTACCATTGTTATCTCAGAGAAGGGTGTGTGTTAGAAACTCCCCAACAACCAGCATACGTCCTGGTGACAGGCCAAATAGCTTACCAGACTGTACCAATTTCACCAAGGGGGAGAAAATTAGCAAAATCCACATTCGAAACTGGAGCATACCATTGTCTACCAAAGAGGAAAGCTGCGCTATAAACAGCCACCATAATTGGACCGTACCATTGTCACCTTAGGGGAGATATATGAATGAGCTTCCCTGTCATTATGTTGTCGGTCAGACTGTACCGTTGTCATCCAAAAAGTGCCTTATCAGACTGTACCATTGTCACCGGGGTCGAGATCGGCACTCTGCCTCCCCAGTCATTATCATGTTCCCCAGCAACAGCCCAAAATACTGTAAGAAAATGTGCCATTGTTTGCTGGAATGTGAGGGGAGTTTAGAACTCCCGAGTCTCCTCTTTTGTAACAGGAAGTCAGATTAGTTTGTGTTTAGCAACGCGATACCTACAGATGGAGAGAATGGAGGTGGGAGTAAAGGAGGGAATAAAGGAGGGAGTAATGGAGGGTTGAAGGAGAGAGCAATGTAGGGGG